ACTGGAGGGTTTGAGTTATAGGGAGAAGCTGAATAAGCTGGGGCTTTTTTTCCCTGGAGCATTGGAGGCTGAGGGGTGGCCTTATAGAGGTTTATAAAATCATAAGGTGCATAGGTAGGGTGGATAGCCCATTTCTTTTCCCCAGGGTAGGGGAGTCTAAAACTAGAGAGCATTGGTTTACGGTGAGACAAGAAAGATTTAAAAAGCACCTGAGGGGCAACTATTTCACCCAGAGGGTGGTGCATGCATGGAACAAGCTGCTAGAAGAATTGGTAGAGGCTGGATCAATTGCAACATTTAAAAGGCACCTTGATGGGTATATAAATAGAGAGGATTTAGAGGGATATGGGCCAAATGCTGGGTCTAGATCAGATTGGGAGGTCTCATCAATGCAGATGATTTGGACTGAAGGGTCTGTTTCTGTGCTATATGACTCTATGACTCTATAACAATGGGACAATATTTTCTCCACGCCCTCCAGTTAATTACATCTTCAATTTATTCATTAAGACTTTTGATTTGTGTTTTCTTTCCAACTCAAACCAAATTTACCCCACCACACAACAAGCTGACAGTGAGGAACTTTATCCTAAAAGGACCTTAGATTTTCTATTCATCATTTGGAACGAATCATGGCGAATGCACCCTTCATTTTTCTAGTAATGAAGACAGTAGATTTTGAGGTTGAATTGGATGAAGCTCCTAAAATGTGTGCATGCATCACACAATGCAGTTAAATCATTCATTATAATGCAGACAATGCATTAAACGTGTGCTACCTGCTCTCTAATTGGTTGCCATTGCTACATCCAGTCCTTATTGGCTGCATGATTCAGCAAGGACATTAGTGTTGTAAAGTGGTTCATACTACTTAAAAGTAACCTGTGCCTTTTAACGTAGAGGTGTATTGAAGCTGCAAGGGGTGATGGGTGTCCTTTGAAAGATGACTACTTGAGGAATTGCTGAACATGCAAGGGAAGAAGCACTAACGTTTTCTAAAAATGAACTCGCGGTCACAGTGGAAGTGGTGGAAAGAAAATGAGATGCACATTAATATGCATTATCAGCCATTGCTTTACGTGTTGCTGATAGCTATTTGATGTGAACTGTGCAGTATAATGGAATCTTTGCACTTCTCATTGGGAGCATACTCATATGTTTGGGACCATATTCACAAGTTTTATTTGCATCTGTGATGTCTCAAAGCTGGTGTAAAGTGTTGGAAAGTATACCTCGAGTCCATGTATAGTTCTGAACATGTACAGAAGGAACTATGTTAAAGTGTGGATAGCACAGTGGCTCAGTGGTTAGTGCTGCTGCCTCACAGTGCTAGGGACCTGGGTTTGAATCCACCCTCAGGTAACTGTCTGTGTGGAGTTTGCACATTCTTCCTCTGTCTGTGTTGGTTTCCTCCATGTGTTCTGGTTTCCTCCCACAGTCCAAAGATGTGCAGATTAGGTCAATTGTCTATGCTAAATTGCCTATAGCATTCAGGGATGCACAGACTAGCGAGATTACTATGTAGGGTTACTGGGATAGGGTAGGGGGCTGGATGTTCCTTGGAGAGTTGGTGTGGACTCAATGAACTGAATAGCCTGCTTCCACATTGTGGGGCTTCTATGATGTTCATCCTGACTCTGTAGGCCTCCGCATAAGGTGTCTGACCTTACCATCCTCTGCTTCAAGAGTTTTTTTAGTTGTATTTGATAAATTCTGTTGCTATTCACTCACAATGGTATAGATTTAATCTTACCACAGTTGGGGGCCACAATATTCAACTTAGCTCCAAATTCCTTGATCTACTGTGAAAAAAATTGAAGCTATTAATCCCAAATTCTATGTTCGTCTTAACTAATCGGAGCTCCTCTTGTGGGAATTGGAAATTTCTATACTCGGAAACCAGAGTGTGGGTGTGCATTTTTTAATGAGAAAATTGTCATTTTCCATCGACGTTAAGATGAGGAGATGTTGAGAATCAGTACTTTCAAAGTTTTATTTTCACAGCAGCAATAAAAATCACCAGAACTCAGGAACCAGTCCTGGTCCAGCCCACCATCTCCAACTTTGGATGTGAAACAAAATCTATCTAAAATATTCCGAGTATTTTAGGTTTGTTCACAAATTAGATACTATTTATGGAAGAGCCAGCGATTTATTAAGTGCCTGTATTAATTATACACTTTCTCTGCTGCATAATACAAAACATTGATATATTATGTGCATACTTATTCATTAATGGATATTTCTGACAGATAAAATGTTGTGACAGGAAGGTTATATACTTAGAATGAATATAATTGAAGAGGGTTTTTTTTTCTTGGAGAATCTATGCATTTGATGTATTTTTTATTGCCTGAAGTGAAAATGTCATAACTGATGAATGTATGTTGCTTGTTTGCAGCCCTGAGCTGTAAGACTGTGCAGTTAGGAAGAAAGTCTTATATTAGTGGAGCTGAGCCCTTGGGCCTCATTATTATTCACAAAATTAATCCCAATGTTATTAATTCTGCGTAACAAGCAAACAAGCACTGAATTTAAATCACCTCTGATATCAGGCATGTTGTCAGAAAAATAACAGGAAATCAAGTAGAGATGAATTAACCCTCTAAGGACAGAGTGCAGCTCTGTTTTCTTCGCTACAAATATAACGAGGTTACATTTTTTATGCACCAGATTCATTCTCGCTTTGAAGCCCTGAGTGTTTTAGCATTTCCTGCATAACTTACGTACCTTATTATGCTGGGTAAGATGATTAGCAGGATTTTTACAGATTCCATATGTACCAACTCCCACACCGCCTTTATGACCCTGTTAGTAAATGCACCATCTAATGCGAAACGGAGTCATATCGACCCAGAAGGCCTGAGCTTTGATTGGCACTCCGGTTTGAGTTAGCTGATCTCTGTCAGGCTGGAGGTAGACAAAACATACCTGGGCTCAGTAGAAAAGAATATTCTTTAGGCTATCTATCCTCCTAATTGGGACCTAGTGACAAGTGTATACAAGTGAATTTTAGATTTTGTTTTTATTTACTCTTGGGGTGTGGGCGTCGCTGGCTGGCCAGCATTTATTGCCTGTCCCTAGTTGCCCTGGAGAAGGTGGTGGTGAGCTGCCTTCTTGAACTGCTGCAGTCCACAGTGCCATTAGGGGGGAGACTTGGTAGTGATTGATACAATGGAGCGGCTTGCTCGGCCATTTCAGAGTGCAGTTGAGAGTCAACCATATTGCTATGGCACTGGAGTCACATGTAGGCCAGACCAGATGAAGATGGCAGATTTCCTTCCCTGAAGGACAGTGATGAACCAGATGAGTTTTTCCTTTCAATTGACAATGGTTTCTTCATCAAAAGTAGATTCTTACTTCTAAATATTTTTTATATCATGTAGGATTTGAACCCAGGCCACCAAAACATTAGCTCAGCTTCTGGATTTACAGTCAAGTGATAATACCATTAGGCCACTACAACTTTAGATAAAGATAGAAATGAGCTATTTGGGGATATTTCTTCCAATCAGACTCCTGATTTCCTTCTACAGCTTTAAATGTGAAGTACACATATTTAGCTGAAGTGACAGAAAGTGAAGAAGCTATGATGGCGGTTAAAAATGGACTTGGCCAGAAACATAAGATGGGGCATTGTAAATCAGAGCCTGTTTTGTACCCAGACATGCATATCCCACTCCACTCGAGTTTTGTTTCTGTAGCATCGCAGTGTTTCAGTTCTTTGTCTGACTGAACTTGCTTCGAATGAAGTGGCCATTGGGAATGCAGGGTTCTCTGACTTTATTCCTGCTTTCTGCAGTCAGGAACGGAATTGAAGATAACGGCAATTGAATAGTGAAACTCTTAAAGTTGTATTTCCTTCTGAACCTCTGGCTTCTGCTGAAGTCAAATGTTTCCAATCTGGAGACACAGAATAGTAATGAGTGGTTGGTGAATTTGTGCAAAGAAAGAAATGGTGGATCCACAGATAGCTGGCAATTGTTTTATGGGGGGAGAGAGACCAGATACATTCTGAATGGTCCCAACTTGGGCAGGGAGGATCTGAGATTCAGATTTAAATATAGAGGAAAAAATTGAAGCTCAGCTTCAAAAGGGAGAGGCTGTTGGATTTTTTTTTTAATAATTGTAACAAATGGATTTCTTTCAGAAGATAACACATCAGTTTATAGTCATAAAATCCCTATGGTGAGGAAGCAGGCCATTGAGTCCACACTGACCCTCCAAAGAGCATCCCACCCAGACCTACACTGTCCTTGTAATCCTGCATTTCCTATGGCTAATCCACCTTGCCTCTGCATCCTGGACACTATGGGCAATTTAGCATGGCCAATTTACCTAACGTGTACATCTTTGGACTGTGGGAGGAAACTGGCACACACAGAGGAAACACACATAGACACGGGGAGAATGTGCAAACTTCACACAGACGGTTGCCCAAAGGTGAAATCAAACCCAAGTCCCTGGCACTGAGGCAGCAGTGCTAACCACTGAGTCCCACTGCAGCCAATGAATAATTTGAAACCTAGACTGTGGCAAGTGTAGCATGTTTGTAAGGAACACGTTTCTCTGGAAATTCCCATCTGCGGTTTTCCTCCAGTCGTGTCTGGGTCTGCTGCAGACGAATTGATATCTAGTTAATCAAGAACTCAACCTATGGTTAAATTCTGTGACCGCCAGGATAGCATGCAGAACGTGTGGACGTTTTCCTCATTGAGCAATTGCTATGTTCCTTAATGTCACAGAAATTGAGAGGGGTGGGTGATACAGCAGAAAATTAAATCAGGTGTAAGAAACATTTATGAAATCCAAACATAGTAAGAAAACTAACATTCATACTTATTACAATATAGACAGATACATAATATATCGTACAATTACAGATGATGTTCTGTAATGAAGCTCAAAGTGACTCGACACGAATGCATTTCTCCCCCGTGGAGCTGAATGGTAGAAGAATTACAAAGATGATACTCCAGTGAGAAGCATACTTAGTGGCAGGAAATTATGATTACATTATGATTAGTAAAAGCTGGCGTGACCCAGAAGACAATAGGGAATTCAATGTTGGACGCCACAGAATTTTCAGGAAGGATGGGAATGGAAGGATAAGGAGAAAGATGTTCAGGATCATTTGGAGATGAAGGAAGCTGAATTGATGTCCTCAGGAAAGCCTTAAAATGAAATAATCTGGCTTGAATTAAGAAGCTTGCATAGGATAAAATGAGCGATAGGAATCTGTTACAGACCTCCAGGGAAGAATAAAGATGAAGATAACATTTCCTATGATGAAATAAGAAGAATATGTAATGACAATAATATGATTACCACGGGTGATTTCAACCCATGCAACATGAGTTGCGATTGTCCAAAGATAATCAGAGATCAGAAGTCATCACTTGTTCTTTGACCCTGTTCATTAGGAACTCAACTAGAGTGAACTTGCATCTTGAACCAGTTCTTGTTGCCATCAAAACAGCATTGATATATAGAAGCCGAATATTTGGAAATCCATGAGCATAACGTTGCGATAAGGTGGAAATCAGTCAGGATCTCGACAAACTGCTTCGAAGAAACTCAAAATAGATGGCCACTAACTGCTGCCTCAGCTGAGGGGAAAAAAGATGAAATGCATTTGAAATTAAATTTTGAACATGTAGGGTTAATATATAACATAAATAAATGCAAGCCAAACAAGCAATCCCTAATGAGGGAGTTTTAAAAATTGAATTCATAATCTCTACAGGGAAAAAAGCACAGAGAAATTTGGGAGGAGTACAGGGATTTACAAAAAGACCTTAAAAGAGATATTAGAGGTGCAAAAAGAGCCTTAGAGATTAGCTCAAGAAACCAGGAATAATAAAACATCTTCTACTATCATCAGTTTGTTAGCCAAGAAATTAGGACACTAAGTGAAACAGAGGTTCAAGAGAGCAGAAAATAGTCAAAATACAAAACAATTATTTGTTCGAAGGTGTTCACTGAAAAGGTTGGTCCTAATTAGTTGTCCAAATGTTGTGGTATATCAAATATTTTGAAAGCAGTCTGGCAGAGTCACTTCTTGTGCTCATTGTCCAAAAGTAGCACTGTCAGCTTGGCCAAGATCTCCAACACAGGTAAGGCCAGGAGACAGGGCCCAAATCCAACCCGGCTATAAAGGGGGTCAACCCATGCTATTGGCACCAATCTGATCCACACCAGCCAATTAAGCCACCGGCTCACTGCTCCACCAAGAAGTCTGGGTTGATACGGCAACATACCCTTTTATATGTACATTTCAGTCTTGAACCAGTTCCCGCAATCAAAACAGTACTGACAATTTTGAAGCAGATTGTTTGGCAATCCGTGAGTAATGTTGTGTTAACGTGGAAATCGGTAATGTGTCCGGAGCTCTGCATACAATTTTGGTCCCCTTATTTGAGGAAGGTAGTAATTGCATTGGAGGCAGCTTTGCCAGATTAATTCGAGAGATGGCAGGCTTTTCTTATGAAGAGAGATTAAACAGTTTAGACCTGTGTTTGCTAGAGTTTAAAAGGAAAAGAGGAGATCTAATTGAGGCATATAAGATGCTAAAGGGAATTGACAAAGTAAATGTAGAACTGATGTTTCCTTTCATGGAGCAATCTAGGACAAGAGGTCATAGTTTTAGGATAATGGGTGCAAGATTTAAAACAGCTGAATTTCTTCTCTCAAAGGGTCATGAATCTGTTGAATTCATTCCCTCAGAATGTGGTGGTCACCAAGACACTAAATACATTTTTAAGGAGGAGGTAGACAGATTTATGATTAGTAATGAGTTAAAGTGTCATGAGGAACAGGCAGGAAAGTGAAGTTGAGGCCAAGCTGGGATCAGCCATGATCTTTTCAAATGGCATAGCAGGCTTGAGGGGCTGAATGGCTTAATCCTGCTCCTGGTTCTTATGTTCTTCTGCTCCTACATTGACAGTCACTGAGATCAATGGAAAACAGGAGAGCAGACTCAGAGTTAGTGATAAGAGAGGTGGACTCAGTCAGTTAGCAAAGGGGAAAGGGAAGGGAGGCCCTGAACCATGAAACCTAATGTTTCAGGAAATAGAACTTGCATATTCTAGGGGGAGGACCTAATGGGCCTCTTTGATTGCCTATGGCAGCAATGGGCTTGGCTGAACTTACAGGAGCTGATTACGAGCACCCTCTCCCCTCCAATGCCAACCCACAAGCAGTGGGACTGCAGGGTGTTAAGTTTGAAGTTAGTCGACAGCAGATGGTTTCTAATCATCTTAGCAATCCCTGTCATTGGGTAAAGGGCTCTGTAGTAGTCAGAGTGTAACGACCACCTCATGTTAAAAGGACACTCACACAGGCATCTTCTACTCCCTCAAAATGAACTTTGGAATTAATAACATTGGAACCCTCATGGACAACCCAAGTATTTGACCTTGCATTGCCATCCTAGCTCAGGAACTCTGGCATTATGACATTAACATCGCTGTCCTGAGTGAGATATGGTGGGCAGGGGAAATTTAGCCGACAGAACAAGGTGCCTTCTTTTGAAAGGGTGAATCTCAGGAAGAACACTGACCTCATTGGGTTGACCATCTTGCTGAGCTTCCCGTTTGGATAAACAAATGCCTGTCCACCCCTCAGCTCACACTAACACAGAAGCAGTGCTCCACTGTAATCAGTACATACACCTCAACACCGAAAACAATGGATGAAGCCATTTTTCTGAAGAAGGGTCTAGGCCTGAAACGTCAGCCTTCCTGCTCCTCTGATGCTACTTGGCCTGCTGTGTTCATCCAGCTCTACACCTTGTTATCTCGATGAAGCCAATGAGGAATGTTACGCCCAGCTTTCATCAATCATTGCCCTATATCCCAAAGGGAGGCAAGCTGATTCTCCTTGGTGATTTCAACCTCAGAGATGGGGAAGATACAAGTCTCTGGAAAGATGTGATTGGCAAGTAAGGTGAAGAGAAGGCAAACAGCAATGGAGTCTTCTTCTTGATCAAAATCTTAAAGAATGGCCTGGTCATAATGAGCACCCTATTTCATCAGAGAGACAAATACAAGATGTCTTGGCAAAACTACCCCCCTGCTGACATTGGCACCTATTGGGCTACATCATCATTCACATGAGGAAAAGCAAGGCTGTTCATATCGCCGGTGTCATGACAGGAGCTGACAAATGCTGGGCTGGCCTGAATCTAATCCAATGTACTATCTCCATCAGCCTGACCAAAAACAGCAGAAATGCTGCCATGAAAAATTCAATACCAATGGACTCAAAAACTCTACAAAGGCTAACTCAGTCACTGTCTCACAGCAAACCTGGAGATGCTCAACAAACAGGAATGACAGAATGTCCACAGTGCGTGGTCTGTCCTTAAATTCATTACAAACAGCACTTGTGAGTGGACTCCAGGTTCCTCTACCAGGAAGGATCAAGACTGGTTTCAAAGTCTCCCCATCCCCTGCTTCATCCCATGACCAACCCTCCCTCTCATCCCCACCTCCTTGACCTGATACAACCTGTCCATCTTCTCTCCCACCTATCCACTCCTCCACCTCACTGACCAATCCCCACCACTGCCTACCTGCGCTCACCTATCACCATCCCACCTACCTTCCCCAGCCCCACCCCTCCTCTCTCTATTTATTTCTGAGCTCCCTTCCCCCTCCACCATTTCTGAAGAAGGGACCCTTTTCTGCTCCTCTCATGCTGCCTGGCTTGCTGTGTTCCTCCAGCTCCACAATGTGTTATCTCTGGTTTGATACCAATGATGAGGAAATGCAGGAACGACTAAAACACAACCACAAAATGTTCCTGAAATGGAATTCCACCATTGCACAAAGGAAAGAAAACAAGTCTACAGACAAATGAAAGTTGAAGTCCAATAACATATTCATAACCTAAAAAATAACTGGTGGGGAGGCGTAGTGATAATAGTCAATCCCATGCTCGTGTTCTAGAGATAAAAACAGAAATTGCTGGAGACCCTTAGCAGGTCTGATAGCATCTGTGGAGAGAGAAACAGAGTTAACAGAGTCCAGCGACTCTTCATCAGAAGTCACTTGTATTTTGATGCTTTGAGACATGGGTTCAAATCCCTCCATGGTAGATGGTGAAATTTGAATGCAAGAAAGGAAAAGGATCTGAAATAAAAGACCTGTTTTATGGTGACCATGTAACTGATATTAATTATTGTTAAAACAAAACATCTGGTTCACTGAAATTTTGATTCTTAACTGCCCTCTAGTCAATTAGGGATGGACTATAAATGTTGGCCTAGCCATTAATATACATATCCCATGACTGATTTTAAAAAGTGTAGGAAATCTAGCAACTCCTGATGCCACAACATGCACCGTGTTTTCAGCACAGTCACAACCTACAGCCCGAGGGCATACCCAACTGAGCCATGATTGGAGTGGCACTCATTAAGAACAGAAAGGCAGGTGTTCTCATTAGAAGGAGCACTTCAAGGATCTCTTCAACTGAGACGTTGTCCTTCCAAAGCATGCTAGCTACCACGACCCCAGTCCAACCAAAGCTTGACAGGTCACAGGACTGCAAGAACCAACAAGGCAGCTGATGTAAATGAAATTCTCACTGAAATATAGTTGAGAAACACTCTTGGCACAGAGACGCAACCTCATCTCTCTCATCTGGAAGGAGGAAAGAATGCAAATGAATTTCTGACAATCTGTAATTGTGACCACTTTCAAAAAAGGAGATATGCGCAATTGCAATGGGGGCCCCCTGCTATATGTCATGGGGAAGGTCATTGCAAAATTCCTCCCCAGTTACCTCCTCACAGATGCTGAAAAGCCCTACCAAAGTGACAATACAGATTCCATGTATCAGATGGGACATGATCTTCACAGTGAGACAAGCTGAAGAAAAGTACAGAGAGGAGCAGCAACTTTTAAACAAGGTCTTCTTGAACCTCACAAAAGCCTTTGGTTCTGTCAGCAGTGAAGGATTAAGAAATGCCATTCTCAAAAATGACTGCTCAAAGAAATTTTTGACCATTCTCTGTCTGTTGTATGGCAACATGTAAGTCAAGATCCTCACCAACAGAGCCATCACAGACTCAATGCGTGTGAAAACTGAAGTCAAGAAAGGCTGTGTCTCCTCCATCTCCCTCACCGCTACACTCCACTCAACATCCTGCTGGTGTGGAGCTTCTCTAAAGAGTGAGCTGTAAACTGTTTAACCTGTGTGCCTCCAGTCCAGAACCATGACCACCTTAATCTCTGTTGTCAAGCTGCAGAATGCAAATGATGCTTGCATGTGCATTCACTCAGAGGGAGAGTTCCAAACTACCAATGTATTTATGTAGGCGCATGAGAAAGAATTAGTCAAAACATCCAGAAGACAAAGGTCCACTTCCAATCTGCTCCATTGTGCAACACTGTCCTCCAACAATCAAGATCCACAGCAAACTACTGGACAATGTGGATCAGTTCTCACACCTTGCCTTTCAGTTGGGCAGACATCAATGATGATATTCAACATTGCCTCCAATATGTCAGCACAGCCTTTAGCCGTCTGAGGAACAAGAGTATTTGATGACAAAGACCTCAAATCCTACACCAAGTTTGGTACATAATGCGGCAATGTTAATTGCCCTTCTCTATGCATCGGAGACATAGACAATGTACAGCAGTCATCTGAAATCTTGAAAAAAAATGACCTATAGTGCTTCTGCAAAATCTTGCAAATCCAATGTGTGGATAGGTGACCTAATTTCAGTTTCCTCTCTCAGACCCACGTCCCCAGCATAAGAGCATCGGTTACTGAGCTGGATGAGTTGCATTATCTGCATGTCTTACGCAAGCTGTCTAAAACAAATTCTCTACTCCAACCTCTGACACAGCACACAGTTACCAGGAGGGGAGCGAAAACACTTTAAAGAAGCCCTCAATGTCAATTCATGAGAATTTCTGGCCCATGAGCACACAAACATGAGAAGCATCCATAAAGGTGCCAGCCATCTCGAGCGTTTCTGACAGGATCGGCTGGAGGCCAAGCAAAAGAGCAGCACAATGGAAGAGTTTGTAAAACCCTGAGCTTCCCACTCACCCACATTTTCAAGCAACACCAGTCCCAACAGCAGCAGGGTGTATGCATCCAGCATTGGACTGTTAAACACCTCAGAAGCCATAATGTCAGAGTAGAAGAAAATCCTGAGAGACTGCCTATCAGGAAGAAGTCATCTGGGCCTATGGACAGTGATGTTAGAGACTCCAATTTCTTTCAGTCAGTCTAGAAATCTCGCCCATTCTTGCTGGCTGGCATTGACTTACTTTGGAAAGATTTACAAGTTGATGCTCTGCCTTGTTGGCCATGTTATGAATTCCCAATACTTGGCCATCAACTCCTGGAAGAAAAACAGAAAGTGCTGGACAAACTCAGCAGGTCTGACAGCATCTGTGGGAAGAGAAACAAAGTTAATTGTTTTGAATCTGAAATGACTGGAATAGGACATGAGACTTTTGGCATAAAATGTTATCTAATTTCTTACTGGAGATAAGATCTCTCGTTACGGAAACACAATACTAGCTAAACGAACTGAACATAAAGCTATAGTTGGACCTAACGGGATTTATACATGTACAAGAACAGGGGGGCCTTCATAACCCCGTGTCTGCATGGGTTTCCTCTGGGTGCTCCAGTTTCGTCCCATAGTCCAATGATGTGCAGGTTCGGTGGATAGGCCATGGTAAATGCAGGGTTATGGGGGATAGGGTGAGGAAATGGATCAGGATGGAAGTTCTTCTGAGGGTCGGTGCAGACTTGATGGGCCAAATCGTCTCTATCTGTGCCGTAGGGAATCTATGATTCATGGGAACCTCACCTGGTGCAGGAATTGTACCTGGCCTGTTGGCGTCACTCTGCATCACAAACCACCACTTCCAGCCAACTAAACTAACTCAATGTTCTGAAATAAAAACAAACAGAAAGTATAAGAAATATTCAACAAATCAGACAGCTGTCAGGGTGGAGGAAGTTCAGTGACTGTGGTCCTGGTCCCTTGGCAACCCAATCGTGGCCACTTCCAGGAGACTGGAAAGTGATTGGTGTCCCTAAAGTCCTTCAGACAAGTAACCAGGAGGGGTAGGTGGGGGAGTATAGAGTAGGGGTGTTTGGGCTCGCTTTGAAGGAAGGGGGTGTTGATTCAGAGGCCATTGAGGAAGGAGGGTGGAGTCTTTATCTTTTGCTAGGAGGACCTTATCACAGAATCCCTGCAGTGGGGAAACAGGCCCTTCAGCCCAACAAGTCCACACTGACCCTCAGAGCATCCCACCCAGACCCATCCCCCTATAACCCACCTCATCTACACATCCCTGGACACTGTGGGCATGGCCAATCCACCTAGCCTGCACATCTTTGGACTGTGGGAGGAAACCAGAGAGCCCAGAAGAAGCCCATTCCACACAGACAGTTACCCGAGGGTGGAACCGAACCTGGGGTCCTGGCGCTGTGAGGTAGCAGTGCTAACACTGGGCCACCATACCGCCTCATGTTCAGCAATGTAATACAAGTCACTGAAGTGATGTTAAAACTTGCATCTCACAAGTCAGACCGTGTTAGGGATTCTAAGTACAACTGTTGCTGCCACACCAATAAAAGAGATAGCAACCATAAAGAGGCTGCAGAGAAGAGCCTGAATAGTTCCGTCCATAAGGGAGATAATCTACGAGTAAAACACTACATGCAGGATCTCTGAGACCTGGTGAAAATGCAACTAAGTGGAGATAGAAAGTGTGATAAGGTATAGAAAATATTATATGGCTAAGGCAAGATAAATTCTGAATAAAATAAAACAGGATACTAGGAAAGGAAGTCATCAAAATAAACAAGGGAAGATAAATACACGTCTGATAATAATTAGGCTGAAAGAGGTTGTTTTGTTTATTTTAGAGTAGTAGAGACTTAGCGGTGGCATTGTAAAAGTCCACAACAGAATTGAAAAGCTAGATAGCATTTCTTTTGATAGATTATCCTGTTTAACAGATTAAGAAAGACTAGGAGAAATTTGTTTAATCTAATTAAACGTAGGAATAGACTCAATATCAGGCACTACTTTGTGTCCTACATAGTGGGGAGCCTCAGGTATAATGAGCTGAGCTGTGTAGAGTGTTGTATGTTGCGAATGACCAGTCACTTAGCAGCTAATGGATGGGGGAATGTGCTGCCACCAATCCTCCTTTCTGCTCTGTTAAAAAGAATCATAGAGTCATACAGCACGGAAACAGACCCTTTGGTCCAGCCAGTCTATGCTGAACATAATCCCAAACTAAACTAATCCCACTTGACTACTCCTGGCCCATATCCCTCCAAACATTTCCTATTCATGTACTTATCTAAGTGTCTTTTAGATGTTGTAATGGTGCCTGCATCGACCACTTCCTCAGGAGGTTCATTCCACATGAATGAGGTTCATCCCCTGTTTTAAAAAAATTGCCACTCATGTCTTTTTCAAATATCTCTCCTCTCACCATAAAAATGTGCCTCCTAGTCTTGAAAACCCCATCCTAAGGACCTCTATAAGGTCACCTCTCAAGCTCCTACGCTCTTGTGAAAATAGACCCAGCCTGTTCAGCCTTTCCTTATAACTCAAACATTCCACATTTGGCAACATCCTTGTAAATCTCTTCTGAACCGTCTCCAGTTAACAGCCCCTCAAATGGCTTGGCAAAAAAGATCACAGTGTTAACAGAGGCTTGCAAATTGACAATGGAAACATACCCATGGATTATAAAACGCCTGTCCTGTGTTGGTCATCTCCATCTCAGACCTTCCCACAGATGTAAGCACAAAGAGGGGCAGGCAGTCAGGTTCAGTGGCCTCTTCCACAACCCACATCTGTTAGTGTAATCCTCCATTCTGCATTTTTAATTTGATGCTTTATAATCAATCCATTATAAACTTGCAATGACAAACTTTGGGTGCACAGGGCTTGAAACTGGAGTGTCTGGTTCAGAGGTAGGGATACCACCACTGCACCAAAGGAGCCCTCAGCCTTCTTTTCTACTCTTTTAAACATAAATTATCAAGAATATTTCAACAGCGCTTCATGGGGTAATGTAACAAAAATACAAATTAACGATTAGCGGAAACCATTTCCACTTCTCTGTACTGAGTCTAAGGGCCTATTTGGATAACAGCGGTGGAGGAAGAGCCAATAGTATTAATGAGAAGATGCACTTGTCTTAATGCAATGTAGTTAATTGCATGACAGCAATAAGTACAGATTACATTAGCTCATTAAATGTAATGACAAAGAGATTTAAGAGATAATGAAGACATATCCAGCTCCATCCAGATCTCAAGCTAGACTTCTGTCCTCCTCACCAACATGACTCATCTGCCATAATCAAATTGAAAGTGTTTAATGTAAGTGTCCAACATTAACACCATCAGAAACATTACCTGACAGACATTGCGCATATTGACTCTCATATAGCTTGAAAAAGAAGTTGAATTATGTAGCATGCTGGTTGATTATCTCAGTTGGTTGGACAGCTGTTTTAGAATGTAGGGTAACCCCACCAACATAGGTTCAATTCTTGCTCTGGCTGAGGTTGCCAGCACGACTCTGCTTCTCAAACTCTCCCCTTGCCTGAGGTGTGGTGACCTGTAAGTTAAACTACCTCCCTCTAATGGGAGAGTAGCCCCATGGTCAACTAGGGCTATGGTAACATGAACTTTTCACCAACTGTTGACTGGGCTGGAGACTGAATCATTCAGCAGACAGAATCACAGAATTGTTGCAGTGTAAAATAGAGGCCATGGGACTGTATTTGTATCTGCTGTTCATTATTCAGAGAAGGTGATGGTTGGCTTTGATCCATATGATGTGCCAGATTGGTTTTGATCATCTGAGAGACAAATTGTTGAACAATCATCATGCAGGAATCAGATGGTCTTTCCCTGCATGTCAGTTCCGAATGTATAGCTGACTGAAATTGTGATAGATGTCTATAATAATACCTGCTAGGTGAGAAATAGGTGACGGAGATGTATGGAGCTTTAAAACCACAGATGAAATGAGCTAAGGAGAGCTTGAATCAACAAATAGCCTTTTTCTCATTTAGTTCATTTTCTTTAGATTTTGTTAAATGCACCATTCGTAACCTTTACATCCTTTCTTTTGCCAAATTTTCTTTCTGTTTATTCTCTGCTGAATATGAAATTTCACAAGACCAATGCAGTATCCATCAGTCCTTTCCAGAGAAAATTGGATGACGACCTGAAAGAAAGGAATAATATAGTGTAGGCGATACAAACATATAAGTGGAATTAGATCAGTTAGCTCTTGTTTCTGTCTCATAACATTCTGGTATCTCAAGATGGGCTGATTGTAAATCACTTTGCAACATGTTGAATCTTCTTTCCATTTGACATCACTCGGTATGTCACTTGTTAATCACTTCAACACCACAACAGATGGGGGATTTATAATCTGTATCTTTCTTCCATCAATTTTTTTTTTCCCTAATTGTCTGATGTGAGAAATGTGGATGATCTGGGTGATTACAATACATTACATTACAATAGCTTTTATGCTTACAGTTTATGTACATTTTTTCAGATCCTTAAATTCAATTCAAATTTGCTAATAGCTAAAGAAAGGATGAAATGAAAGTAATGTTGATGGAATTATGTTAATGTATCACAGTAGCTCCAAAGCAAAATTTAGAATATTTTAGTGCTTTAAAGGATAACCTTATAAGTCAAAAGGTACTAGCCTTCAAAAAACTAACTGTACCTCTTTTTTTTAAGTCAGGTAGATGTGTGTTTGACTCTTAACTGTTCTCTGAAATGGCCTAACAAGCCTCCCAGCTGAAGGGCAATTATAGATGGGCAATAATTGTTGAACTTGCTGCCAGTCCCTGCATCCCATGTAAGAATAAAGGGCAGAAATCATGTTTGTCTACTCTCTTGATAGTCCCACTTTAACTGCATCCTCTACAGATTGAAAATGTTTCAAGTCGGGAATTTACTAAAAGAGATATTAAGTATGCATGTAAGGGTATGTCGGCAACATTACAAAAAAAGCTAAGCCAGTTTATTTACTAATGCTTTTTATCTCAGTATGCATTTGAAGGATGGGCATCTCTATGGTATAGTCACAGAATGACAGAATTGTAATGGTGCAGAAGGTGGCTATTTGGCCCATCCCACCTGCACTGGCTCCATTGCTTATTGCCAACATCCTGCCTTTTCCTCATACCCCTGCACACTATTTCTATCTGAATACTCATCTAATGTCCTCTCAAATACCTCAATTGAACCTGCCTCCACCATATTTCCAAGCTGTGGAGAAGAAAACTTGCTGGGCTAATGGCCAGTTTCAGTCTTGGAATATATCTTAAAGTGGGCTGATTGTGAATCACTTTACAACATGTCTCAACATGCTTAACAGGCACTTCCATACCCTATTTACTCACAGAGTCATACATCAGACAGCATGAAAACAGAGTCAACCAGTCCACGCCAACCAAAATCCCAAACTAAACGAGTCCCACCTGCCTGTGCTTGGCCCATATCCCTCCAAACATCCAAATGTCTTTTAAACACTGTAAATGTATCCACATCCACCACTTCCTCTGCAAGGTCATTCCATGCATGAGCCGACTCGCTGTGAGAAAAAGTTTTGTTTTCTAACTTCACCCTTGTTTTGTTTGCATATGACTTCAGAGAAAAAAGCAAACTTTTAAAGTACATTTATTTTATGGGGAGAGGAAGGGGAAGAGGGTAACAGGGGTGCTAGAGCACATTTTGGAAAGTCCACTCTTTGGTAATGTGTGCAAGAATGCCTAGAGTAAATGAAGCAGCCCCCATGTTGAACTGCTGGGAGCTAAAACATCAATCAGGATGAAACAAGTGGGGCATTTTCCATTGTTATTACACCACTTTTGATAGTGGACTCTCAGTGGTAGGGGGTTTCTTAGAATAAAGCATTCACCACCCACCATTGGATGTATTCCAGTCAGGACATGGATTCAGTAAGCTTTCACAAACAACAGACGAGTGTTTAATCAAACTGTTATAATTCAGTGCAAATACATTTCCCAGGCTAAGAATGCACTCTGCAATTCATTCAGGCATTTATATGGATGCCTCTTGCTGGCAGAATGTCAGCATTTAGATGGAGACAACAGATTGTTTCCACTACTGTATTTGTATCTGCAGTTCATTATTCATAGCAGTTGATGGTTTATTTTTGGATGGTTGGTTTTGACAGACCTCTCTTTTGAGGTTTTGGTGCCAAGAGTTTGTGTAATTACTTTTCTCTCAGTCCCTTCAATTCAGATTTCCATGATGAGAATCCTTTGGAAATGCCTTCAAATTCACTACATATTGGAAAATAAAGAAGAATAGGGAAGGATGCCATGCTGTTGGGTATTGGGGCTAAATAACATTATCTACCGTTGCTATAGAACCTGGCCAGAGAGGCACAGATAAATTTATTTCAAGCAACACTGAATTTGTAGGCTCCCATTTGATAGATGATTATACCATAGACTAACTGTCAGCCAAGCTTTGCCATAGAGGAAGTATAATCAACAACATTTACGGCCAGTACAATACTTGAGTCCAAAGTGTTACATTGGGACATCAAACGTTGACTAGTGGCCCTTGTGAGTGATAAAGAAAACACATTGTCCATAAATAAACAGCTGATTCAGGGAATCTCGCAGCCACAACATGATATTGAACCAGAGATAGTAGGAACTGCAGATGCTGGAGAATCCGAGACAACAAGGTGCA